TGGTCTAGGCTATGTGCACTACTTGTACTATTTTAATCTCTTAAATAATTTAATCATTTAATATTCATCAACCAGGCAGCCATTCAAATTGGATTATGTCCACAATGTACTAGCTGTTAAATAACTTGACTGTTAACTCAAGCTCTTGAAGATAGATATGTTTCATTTGCTTCTATTAATAGTGAAGTAAGGAGAACTGTAAAAATATATGCCAGTCATACAGAAAGAAGTTGATGATTGAAGAAATAATTAAACTTCCAGGCCAGGTCACAAAAGCAACATCTCAGGTTTCATATCCTTCAAGTTTCATGTAACCTTTCAGAAGGAGAGGAAAGAACTAGGAAAATACCATTTATTAACTGTGGCAAATAATTTAACTCCTTTTTTTTTCATTTTATGATCATAAGAATTGGAAGGAGGGATGGTTTAGAACTGTGTTTCCCAAATATGTTCACATCATGTCATATAGAAAAAAAAGATAATATTTGTATAACACATTTGAAAAAAACTGCAGAGTTTGATAGCACTTACATGGAGCTGGATTTTTTTAACTAATAAATTTATATTATATAAATATGAAATGGAAAGTAAAATACAGAATATTAAATATTTCAAACCTCAATATTTTTCAATTTTGATGAGAACATTTGAATTTATTGAATTCATTACTACAAATATAACTTTAGCAAATTCTGTTATATATAAATTTTATAACTTTAAAAAATAATTTATAATTTAAATGGTTACATGAATTTCACTTTTTTTACTTTTTTAAAAAATTTTATTATGTAATATTAATCACCATACATTACATTATTAGTTTTTGATGTAGTGTTCCATGATTCATTGTTTACATATACCAACCAGTGCTCCATTCAGTACATGCCCTTTTTAATACCCATCACCAGTCTAACACATCCCCCACACCCTTCCCTCTAGAACCCTCAGTTTGTTTCTCAGAGTCCATAGTCTCTCATGATTCATCTCCCCCTCCAATTTCCATCCTTCATTTTTCCCTTCCTACTATCTTCTTTTTTTTTTTTAACATGTATTATTTGTTTCAGAGGTACAGGTCTGCCATTCAACAGTCTTACACAGTATACAGTGCTGACCATAGCACATACCCTCCCCAATGTCTATCACCCGGGCACCCCATACCTCCCACCCCTCACCACTCCAGCAACCCTCAGATTGTTTCCTGAGATTAAGAATTCCTCATGTCACTGAGATCATATGATACTTCTCTTTCTCTGATTGACTTCTTTCACTCACATAATACCCTCCTTGTCCATCCACGTCATTGCAAATGGCAAGATTTTCATTCCTTTTGATGGCTGCAAAATATTCCATTGTATATATATGCCACTTCTTCTTTATCCATTCGTCTGTCGATGAACACGTTGGCTCTTTCCATAGTTTGGCTATTGTGGACATTGCTGCTATAAACATCGGGGTGCACATACCCCTTAGGATACCTACATTTGTAGCTTTGGGGCAAATACCCAGTAGTGCAATTGCTTGATCATATGGTAGCTCTATTTTCAACTCTTTGAGGAACCTCCATACTGTTTTCCGGAGTGGCTGCAACAGCTTGCATTCCCACCAACAGTGTAAGAGGGTTCCCCTTTCTCAGCATCCCCACCATTATCTCTCATTTACAGACTTGTTAATTTTAGCCATTCTGACTTGTGTGAGGTGCTATCTCATTGAGGTTTTGATTTGGATTTGCCTGATTCCAAGCGATGTTGAGCACTTTTTCGTGTGTCTGTTAGCCATTTGATTGTCTTTGGAAAAATGTCTGTTCATGTTTTCTGCCCATTTCTTGATTAGATCATTTGTTCTTTGGGTGTTGAGTTTGATAAGTTCTTTATAGATTTTGGATACTAGCCCTTTATCTGATATGTCATTTGCAAATATCTTCTCCCATTGTGTCGGTTGTCTTTTGGTTTTGTTAACTGTTTCTTTTGCTGTGCAAAAGCTTTTAATCTTGATGAAGTCCCAATAGTTCATTTTTGCCCTTGCTTCCCTTGCCTTTGGCAATGCTTCTAGGAAGAAGTTGCTGTGGCTGAGGTCAAAGAGCTTCCTGCCTGTGTTCTCCTTTAGGATTCTGAAGGACTTTTGTCTCTCATTTAGGTCTTTCAACCACTTTACGTCTATTCTTATATGTGGTGTAAGGAAATGGTCCAGTTTCATTTTTCTGCATGTGGTTGTCCAATTTTCCCAACACCATTTGTTGAAGAGTCTGTCTTTATTCCATTGGACATACTGTCCTACTTTGTCGAAAATTAGTTGACCATAGAGTTAAAGGTCCATTTCTGGGCTCTCTATTCTGTTCCATTGATCTAGGGGTCTGTTTTTGTGCCAGTACCATACTGTCTTGATGATGACAAAGCTGTCAGCTTTGTAATAGATCTGGAAGTCCGGAATTGTGATGCTGCCAGTTTTGCTTTTCTTTCTCAACACTTCTCTGGCTATTCGGGGTCTTTTCTGATGCCATACAAATTTTAGGATTATTTGTTTGATTTCTTTGAAAAAAGTGGATGGTATTTTGATGGGAATTGCATTGAATATGTAGATTGCTCTAGATAGAATTGACATCATCACAATATTTGTTCTTCTAATCCATGAGCATGGAACATTTTTCCATTTCTTTGTGTCTTCCTCATTTTCTTTCATGAGTATTTTATACTTTTCTGAGTACAGATTCTTTGCCTCTTTGGTTACATTTATTCCTAGGTATCTTATGGTTTTGGGTGCAATTGTAAATGGGATTGACTCCTTAATTTCTCTTTCTTCTGTCTTGTTGTTGGCGTATAGGAATGCCACTGATTTATGTGCATTGATTTTATATCCTGCCACTTTACTGAAGTCCTGTATGAGTTCTAGCAGTTTTGGTGTGCAGTCTTTTGGATTTTCCACATAAAGTATCATATCATCTACAAAGAGTGAGAGTTTGACTACTTCTTTGCTGATGTGGATGCCTTTGATTTCTTTTTGTTGTCTGATTGCTGTGGCTAGGACTTCTAATACTATGTTAAATAGCAGTGGTGATAGTGGACATCCCTGCTGCGTTCCTGACTTTAAGGGGAAATCTGTCAGTTTTTCCGCATTGAGAAAGATATTCACTGTGAGTTTTTCATAGATGGCTTTTATGATATTGAGGTATGTACCCTCTATCCCTATACTCTGAAGAGTTTTGATCAAGAAAGAATGCTGTACTTTGTCAAATGCTTTTTCTGCATCTATTGAGAGGATCATATGATTCTTGTTCTTTCTTTTATTAATGTATTGTATCACATTGATTGATTTGTGGATGTTGAACCAACATTGCAGCCCAGGGATAAATCCCACTTGGTCATGGTGAATAATCCTTTTAATGTACTGTTGTATCCTATTGGCTAGTATTTTGGTGAGAATTTTTGCATCCATATTCATCAAGGATATTGGTCTGTCATTATCCTTTTTGATGGGGTCTTTGTCTGGTTTTGGGATCAAGGTAATGGTGGCCTCATAAAATGAGTTTGGAAGTTTTCCTTCCATTTCTATTTTTTGGAACAGTTTCAGAAGCATCGGTATTAATTCTTCTTTAAATGTTTGGTAGAATTCCCCTGGGAAGCCATCTGGCCCTGGGCTCCTGTTTGTTGGGAGATTATTACTGCTTCAATTTCCTTAGTGGTTATAGGTCTGTTTAGGTTTTCTATTTCTTCCTGGTTCCATTTTGGTAGTTGATACATCTCTAGGAATGCATCCATTTCTTCCAGATTATCTAATTTGCTGGCATAGAGTTGCTCATAATATGTTCTTCTAATTGTTTGTATTTCTTTGGTGTTGGTTGTGATCCCTCCTCTTTCATTCATGATTTTGTTGATTTGGGTCCTTTCTCTTTTCTTTTTGATAAGTCTGGCCAGGGGTTTATCAATCTTGTTAATTCTTCCAAAGAAACAGCTCCTAGTTTCATTGATCTGTTCTACCCTTCTTTTGGTTTCTATTTCAGTGATTTCTGCTCTGATCTTTATTATTTCTCTTCTCTGCTGGGTTTAGGCTTTCTTGCTGTTCTTTCTCCAGCTCCTTTAGGTGCAGGGTTAAGTTGTTTCTTGAGAAAGGCTTGTATTGCTGTATACTTTGCTCTTAGGACTGCTTTTGATGCATCCCAAAGATTTTGAACAGTTGTGTTTTCATTTGTTTCCATCAATTTTTAATTCTTTAATTTCCTGGTTGACCCATTCATTCTTTAGTAGGATGCTATTTAGCCTCGATGTATTTGAGTTCTTTCCAACTTTCATCTTGTGATTGAGCTCTAGTTTCAAAGCTTTGTGGTCAGAAAATATGCAGGGAATGATCCCAATCTTTTGGAACCAGTTGAGACCTGATTTGTGACCCAGGATGTGATCTATTCTGGAGAATGTTCCATGTGCTATAGAGAAGAACATGTATTCTTTTGTTTGGGGATGGAATGTTCTGAATACATCTGTGAAGTCCATCTGGTCTGGTGTGTCATTTAAAGCCTTTATTTCCTTGTTACTCTTTTGCTTAGATGATCTGTCAATTTCAGTAAGAGGGGTGTTAAAGTCCTCTACTTTGATTTTGTTATTAATTGGCTTATATAGTTGGCTGCTCCCATGTAGAGGCATATTTACAATTGTTAGATCTTCTTGTTGGATAGACCCTTTAAGTATGATATAGTGTTCTTCCTCATCTCTTATTATAGTCTTTGGCTTAAAATCTAATTTGTCTGATGTAAGGATTGCCACCCCAGCTTTCTTTTGGTGTCCATTAGCATGGTAAATGGTTTTCCACCCCCTCATTTTCAATCTGGAGGTGTCTTTGGGTCTAAAATGAATCTCTTACAGATAGCATATCAATGGGTCTTGTTTTTTTTCCAATCTGTTAGCCTGTGTCTTTGGACTGGGGAATTTAGCCCATTTACATTCAGAGTATCTTTTGAAAGATATGAATTTAGTGCCATTGTATTGCCTGCAAGGTGACTGTTACTCTATATTGTCTCTGTTCCTTTCTGATCTATGTTACTTTTAGGCTCTCTCTTTGCTTAGAGGACCCCTTTCAATATTTCTTGTAGGGCTGGTTCGTGTTTGCAAATTCCTTTAGTTTTTGTTTGTCCTGGAAGGTTTTTATCTCTCCTTCTATTTTCAATGATAGCCTACTTGGATATAGTATTCTTGGCTGCATGTTTTTCTGATTTAGTGCTCTGAATATATCATGCCTGTTCTTTCTAGCCTGCCAGGTCTCTGTGGATAGGCTGTTGCCAATCTAATGTTTCTACCATTGTTGTTTACAGATCTCTTGTCCTGAGCTGCTTTCAGGATTTTCTCTTTGTCTCTGAGACTCATAAGTTTTACTAGTAGATGTTGGGGAGTTGACCTATTTTTATTGATTTTGAGAGGGGTTCTCTGTGCCTCCTGGATTTTGATGCCTGTTTCCATTCCCAAATTAGGGAAGTTCTCTGCTATAATTTGCTCCAATAAACCTTCTTCCCCTCTCTCTCTTTCTTCTTCTGCTGGGATCCCAATTATTCTAATATTGTTTCGTTTAATGGTATCACTTATCTCTTGAATTCTTCCCTCATGACCCAGTAGGTTTTAATCTCTCTTTTTCTCAGATCTTTATTTTCCATCATTTGGTCTTCTATATCACTAATTCTCTCTTCTGCCTCATTTATCCTAGCAGTTTGAGCCTCCATTTTTTATTGCACTTCATTAATAGCCTTTTTGATTTTGACCTGGTTAGATTTTAGTTCTTTAATTTCTCCAGGGAGGATTCTCTAATATCTTCCATCCTTTTTGCAAGACCAGGTAGTATCTTTAAAATTGTCATTCTGAACTCTAGTTCCGAAATCTTACGAATGTCCATATTGATTAGGTCCCTGGCAGTCGGTACTGAATCTTGTTCTTTTTTTTTTTTTGAGGTGATTTTTTTCCCTCTTGTCATTTTGTCCAGAGAAGAATAGATGAATTAGGGTTCAAAATGCTAACAGAGTAATAACAACCCCAGAAAAATATACACTAAACAAATCAGAAGAGACCTGAAACCGGGGAAAAAGAAAGGGAAAGAAAGAAAAAAGAAAAAAAAAAGGAAAAGAAAAAGATAAAAAAATAGAATATGATCAAATATGATCAGGCTGGTGCATAGATCAGTGTCACACACTAGATTTTGGGTGTACTTTGGTCTGTTAGAAGAATCTGCCTCCCAAAATTTTAAAGAAAGAAAAACTTATATATGTATAAAAATAAAAGTAAATTTGATGAAGAGATGGATTATGACTATAAAGCTGAAAATTATAAAAGATTTTATAAAAGGAATTGATAAGAAGTTGGTTTAAAAAAGAAAGAACAGGAATTAAAAAAAAAAGAGATAATGTGATCAGGCAGGAGACTAGAACAGAGCCATACTTTAGAGATTTAGGGTATATTTTGGTCTGTTAGAAGAAACTGTATCCCAAAAATTTAAGGAGATAACAACTTATATATATATATTTACCAAAAATAAGGTTAACTACTCTGAGGGGATAGAATATGACTCTAAAAATGAAAAATAAAAAAGAATTTTTTAAAAAAATTGATAAGATGTTGTTTGAAAAAGGGAAAAAGAAAAATTAAAAAAAAATTTAAAAATTAACTTTGAAAGACTAAAGAATCATGGGGAAAAAAGCCATGAATTCTATGTGCTATATTCCCCTAGTGCTGGTGTTCTGCCGTTCTCACTGATTGGTAAACTTGGTCTTGGCTGGCTGTTTTTACTGATCTTCTGGGGGAGGGGCCTGTTACAATGGTTCTCAAATGTCTTTCCCCGAGGCGGAATTGCCCCATCCTTGCGGCAGGCTAAGTGATCTGCTTGAGTTTGCTTTCTATATCTTTTGTTCCCTGCAAGCTTTCCGTACAGCTTTGAAGGAAGAGAATGAAAATGGTGGCCTCCCAATCTCTGCCCCCAGAGGAGCCAAGAACTCAGGGCCCCACTCCTCAGTGAGCCCCCTGAGAAAAGCAGTCAATCACTCCCTTCTTCCTGGTCTCCAGCCTCACTCCATGCTCACCCAGCCTGTGACTGAGTGTTTCTATCTCTGGCACACGACCCTGTTTGGAGTCTCCAAACCCAGCAGATTCCTGTGGTGTGTTCCCGCACTGCTCCTCCCTGGGGAGGAACGGGAGTCCCCCGGATCTGCAGCTTGTTGGGTCCTACTGGAGGAGCAGTGGCCTGACTGTGCCACAGGTCATGGTTTATGGCACCCCAAGCTGAAAGCCCACTCCTCAGCCCCTTCTCTGCAGCCGGCATCCCCACTCCGATACCTGGGAGCTCTGCTGCACTCAGGCACCCCTGGTATTTCTGTGACCCTGAGGGTCCTGAGACCACACTGTCCCAGCGAGTGTTCCACCCCCCACTTAGCCACTGGAATGATGTCCCTCAGCAGAGAAGACTTCTAAAAGTTCCAATTTGGGGCTCCACTGCTCTACACTTGCCAGTAGCAGCTGATGGAGGCTCCCTCCCTGCTTGGTCTATCTTCCCAAATATCGCTTCGGAATCACTTCTCCATACGTCCTACCTTCCAAAAAGTGGTCGCTTTTCTGTTCAGAGAGTTGCTACTATTCTTTTCTTTGATCTCCTGTTGAGTTTGTATGTGTTCAGAATGGTTTGATCCCTATCTAGCTGAATTCCTGGGACCAGACGAAATTTAAGTCTCCTACCCATCAGCCATCTTGCTCCTATCTAAAAGGTTACATAAATTTCAGATCAAGTTACATTAAAACTAGCTTTAATTTAAAAAGACTAACATAAGTACTATATTTAACAAATCATATGAACATTAGGATTATAACAAAACCCAGTTGTTTTCTAACCCTCTTCTCCCTATTACCCTGATAATCCCTCCCAAAGGCAAGCTCTTTTAAAATAATGTACTTACACTGCTTTATTTTGATTCATGTACTTTAAAAGTTACCTCTTGAATTCCTGTTAAAGTACATGTGAATTGATGTCTCTTAGAATTGCCATCCTTTCTGCTTCCCCTCTCTCATTGTTCTAATACCATTGTTAAATATTTTGTTTATATCATACTGGTGGTGTTTACAAAGTATTCTTATGGAAGATTATTCATAAACTGAGCACTGTAGTGTATTTGATTATATTTCCTTTTTACTTTTTATTTTTCCCAAGGAAAATACTTGTCTTCTTATTTATTTGCTTATTTTGTTTGCATTCTTCCTCTATGTTTGAAAACTTTTCAGTACAATTTTTCACAAAGTCAATCTTATGTAATCCAGCATTTCCTATTTTTTCTTGGAGACTTTCCTCTTAGAGATGGCTATTCTCCTCTCTGGACTTAGTGTTCACTAGGCCTACCATACAGCTTGCCTGTCTTTTGATCACACTGATACTGTCTGCACTGACCATAGTTTGCACTGAGATTTGTCTCATAATAAATTACTATCATGCAGGACATTCTCTGTGATTACTTCCTGTGTGCGATTGTTTCCTTGCTTCTGTGCATCATATCTTTTCTTTATTTGCTTATATACCAGTCCTCCCCACTTTATTTAAGACAAAATAATCAATTTTTTATTTCAATGTTTGGTATTCAAACACTTTTAGGTTGTGAAGATTATTAAAAAACATATATTGTGGCGGCACCTGGGTGGCTTAGTCAGTTAAGCCTCTGCCTTTGGCTCAGGTCATGATCCCAGGGTCCTGGGATTGGGCCACTCATCAGGCTCCCTGTTCAGTGAGGAGTCTGATTCTTTCACTGCCCCTCTCCCTGCTTATGTTCTCTCTCTCTCTGTCAAATAGTAAATAAACTCTTTTAAAAAATATATATGTAAAACCATAAAATGTATCATGTCAATAATTTTTAATTGAACAGTACAGTAGTGTTAACTGCATAAGCACTGTTGTGCAAGAGATATCTAGAAATTCTTCATCCTGCCAAAGTGAAATTCTATACACATTAAACAATTTTCCTTTTATCCTCCCCCATCCCCTGGCAACCACTATTATATTTTCCCCTTCTAAGAATTTGACTTTTCTAAGAACCTCATACAAATGGAATCATGTACTATTTGTCTTTGTTTATTTCACTTAGCATAATGTATTCAAGCTTCATCTATGTTGTAGCAAATGACAGGATTTCCTTTTTTTGAAAGCTAAATAATATACCATTATATGTATATACTACATGTTCTTTATCAATTCATGCATGGACAGGCAAAAATTTTGTTTCCAAATCATACTTACTGTAAAGACTGCTGCAATGAACATAAATGTGCAAATATCTCTTCAAGAAACTATTTTCAATTCTTTTGGATCTAGACCCGGAAATGGGATCATTTTAACATATGGAAACATAGTGTTTTAACATATGAAAACATACTGTTTTCCATAACAGTTGCAACATTTTAAAATTCCACTGGTAGTGCACAAGAGTTCCAATTTCTCCACATTCTCATCAACACTTATTTTCTGTTTCTTTGATGGTAGCCATTCCATCCTAAGGGTGTAAGGTAATATCCTGTTGTGGTTTTGATTTGCATTTCCCTAATAATTAATAATGTTGACCATTTTTGCGTATGCTTTTGGGCCGTTTTTATACCTTCTTTGGAGAAATGTCTACTCGAGTCCTTTGACCATTTTTTAATCATATTATTTGTTGTTGAGTTGTAGGTATTCTGGATATTAACTTCTTATCAGATACACTGTTTTTAAAATGTATTTTCTCCCATTCCATATGTTGTCTTTTTCTTGGTGATTTTTTCCTTTGCTGTGAAGTTTTTACTTTGAGTACTACCATTTGTCTATTTTCTTTTGTTGCCTATGCTTTTGGTATTGTATTCAAGAAATCCATGCCAAATCCAATATCATGAAGCATTTTTTCATGTTATTTTCCTTACATTTAGCTCTCTAATCCATTTAGGGTTAATTTTTGTATATGGAATAAGGTAAGGGTCCAATTTCATTCTTTTGCATTTGAATATCCAGTTTTCCTACCTCATTTGTGGAAGATACTCTTCTTTT